GTTACCTGAGTATTGGGGTAGAAATGTCTCCACAGCGGACTGTCGAACGGAGCACGGACGTCCCAAACATCAAAACTGATGTTTTTATATTTCACCGTCTCCACTTTGAAACCTGGACACATGTGACTTTAAATTACGGCTCCGGTCAGTGTGAACATGGAGAGGACAGGTTTGAATCACTCACCGATGGTTGGGAGGGTGGTGACCATCTTACCCAGCTTCAGTCTGTACAGCAGACAGGTTTTCCCTGCAGCATCCAGACCCACTGCAGACACAAACACAGCAGAGAGAGAGACAGTCAGAACCAGGCCTTTGTTCTGGTACCGGGTCGCTTGGTCCAAATATCAGATCGGACTACTTGAATGTGACAATGAGACATGAATGTGCAATGGCGTAATGACACAACAATGGGCCCGTAAGCAACATTTTCTGGGTGGGCCCCAATATGAAGTAAAAATATGTCCTGTAATAATCCCAATAAAACATATTGACCATGGATTTCAATAAGGAGTTAAATGAGCAACAATCTGAGCTGAAAGGTCATCATATTAATGCACCGGTAATAAAATAGTTTTTAACCTTAATTAGGCAGAAAATATTCAAAACTTACCCATTAAAATCCTGACAGGAGTCTTGAACCTGGAGAAGATCTGTGAGATGATGGTTCCCATGATTAATGTCCAGCTGAGGCTGTGGGTCCCTGTGGCCACAGCAGCCAGTCAGCCTGGTACACGGTGGAAGAACAGACAGAAACACAGCTGGAACACCAGAAAACCACTAAGAACCTTATGACATCATTTCCTTCTTCCTGTATTTCAAAATAAGAACCAAGAATTAGTAAATTGGCTTCAAACTTATTCATCTTTATTGATGTATTTATTCATTTTTATAGATGAATGCATTTATTTATCAATTTTGTTGATGTATTTATATTTTTTTTTTCATTTTTAAAGATGTATTTATTAATTTTATTTATTTATTTATTCACTTTTGTATTTATTTAAATGCTTAACAGAAGCCAATGATGTCTGCAGAACTTCACATGTTGTTCCGGGTTCTTTTGTAACCTCCTGGAAACGTCCTTGAATAATTTAGTTGCTCAGCCTCTCCTGAGAAGGTTCCCTACTGTTCCCTGTGTGGACGATGTTTCTCTGAAGCCAAGCATATAACCCATTCTTTTTTGCCCCTCATGTTTTCCTCACACTCTTTAGCTCAGGCGGTGATAATGTTTCCTGCTGTCATATTCAGACCTGGATGACGGATAAAACAGCCTCAGCTAAAAACAGGTTTTATCAAATATAAGTATCTGTCGGATGATTGAACAGTTTCTTACAGCACTTTGGAAAAACCGTGAAAAAAAAAAAAAAACTCTGAAGGAGGAGCTTCTTTTAAAATTAGTATTAAAGAAAATATTAAATATTATTAATTATTAAAGAAAATATTCCAGTTTGGTCTGCAGCAGGAAGTGATGCTGTTTGCTCTGCTGTTTGTTGTAGATGTTGGCAGGCATGACTCAGCCAGGCAGGTCAGATCCTCCCTGTTAGAAACAGGTTAAAAAAAACATCCATCAGAACCAGTAGTTTGATTACATTAAACGCCTTCTGTTCATGAGATGAGATCCAGGTAAGTTAAAGATAGATTAGCATCAACAGGCAGTGACTGGTAATTGGGCGTACAGGGCATATGCCCGGAGGGCCGGCGTGCTGTTTGGGCTGACAGACCCGAAATGTATATTAATAATATGTATTATTATCATCATTATTATTACTATTATTATTATTATTGTTAATATTATTATTATCATTAATATTATCATTTTATATTATAATATATATAATATTATATTATATATCAGCCTCTTTATATTTGCATAATGCATGAAGAAAAATAAAATCAGCATCGCAAAAGTCTGTTCCGATGATCCGGCCCTTACCACAGGCTCCTGCAGCCCATTGGTTATCATCCCTGACAGTCTAAAGGGCTAGGCCAATCAGAAAGTGGAGAAACACCTTCACTCGCCATTGGAACTTTGTGCAGCAGTGTTCACAGTAGTAATGGAGAAGAAACGCAGGAAACAAGTTCTTCAAACAGACGCTGCAAATTTGTCAAACCGACTGACATGTTCCTAACAGCAGGCCCTTCATCTGCTCTGGTGTCTGGTGTTAAATATAATGGTGGTGGTGGTTGTAGTGGAGGCGACGGCGAACCGAGCAGTGAACATGTCAGTGCGGCTGCTGCATTAGTAGAACCTGCGGTAAGTTGGACAGTTTTCAGAGCCCCAAACTATGTAATGCAGACATCCCAAGTCTCCCGGAAGTTCCGGGAGTCTCCCTGATATAGATAGCTGTTCACTGATGCCCACGAGTCAGATAAATTATCACGGATTTTTGACTACTATGCAATGATTCATGCACCATGTGAGGATAACAACTACTGCGATTGCTCAGACAACAACAGAGAGCGGGGTGCAGGGAGGAGGTTGCTGATGAAACCTGTGCAGCGTATCTGTCCAAAGCGATGCTCTGTTCAACCAGCGTTCCAGGCAACTGGTTGATCAGAGAGCTGATTGGATCAGTCCGATAAGTTTCTTAGGGTTACTCTCTGGCAGTCACCTAGTTACCACTCAAAGCTGTGCATCCTGGGAAACAGCTGTGGTTCAATCCTCGATTAAAAAACGGAAATATAGGACTAATTTTACAGCAGAATATACTAAAGTATATCCACGTCTAGTGAAGGGGAGGATTCTTGTTGTCTTCAATAAGATTTCTGCCAATACATTGAATCTGAATTTCTTTTGAGCGGGGGTGAAAATCTCAGAGCGGAAGCACTGTTGGTTTTTGGGTCATGTAGTTTTTTTGACTCGCATTATAGTGTAGGCTTCAAGGAAAAAAACTATAAAATGGCGGCGCCAGTACTGGATTTTTTTTCTTTCTATTTTATTTTATTTTTTCGCATCGATCCTAGTTTTTTTTAGTTACTATTTAGTTACTTCGATTCCTGAAAAAATGTCAGTCTCTAGTGTGTATGGGGCACAGTTTTGGTCTGTTGTCCCCGGGGGGCGGGCAGATGGGGGATAAGCATCTCCCTGAAATGAGTTTTTGGAACTTGGGATGTCTGGTAATTATGATAGGATAAACCAACCAACCCCTTGATGAATATGATAAAATAACATAATCCCAATAAAAATATGTTGTTAATGTTCCATGGTAAAGTCAGTTTAGTAAACACAGCTGCTGCTACCCATAAACTTCATGCTAGCACTAGTGGCTAATGATGATTTTTTTGTAGCCTACAGTGAGTGCATCCTCTCTGACAGGATTTCTAATGGTTCATCATTTTGTCATTGGCATCCTTTTTTACACAATGAGTGCACAGTAGTCCAATGTTACCCTACAGTATCTGGAAGACTGAATAGATCTGATGAGCAACTTACAATAAGTTCTTATCATGATATAACGTGATAATATGTGTGATTGACTGTGACTTTTTTCTCTCCCTCTCTCTCTCTCTCTGATCTAAGAATTGTTGCTGTGCTGTGGTGGAGTTTACATTTTACAGTGTTAACAAATTAAAATTTTGGAAGTATTTTAAGTGTTCACTCTCACTAATCTCCATTAACCTGGCCTCAAGGTATTGCACAGTTGCTATACATATTGAGTACACCAAAAAAGTGTGGTGGGCCAGTCTAGTCCAAAATGCCAGGGCCCATTTTTTTTCCCAGTCCACCCCTGAGCATCAATAAAAAACACTTTGGGTACCTCTTTATTAACATCAAAGACCCCTCACACCCCCACCCCTGCTGTTCTCTGGGAAGAGGCTTCGCAGCATTCGATGCGGGTCCAGCAGATTCCTGAACAGCTTCTTTCCCGCCGAAATCAGACAGCTGAATGTTGTGTAAAATGGAGTTTAAAAAAAAAGGATGTTGGGAACTGTAAATCATATAGCAGTCTCATGTTTAAATCTTATCGCCGTGTTTAAATTTTATCACATGTTTACATCTGCAAAAAGTGCAGCAGTGATAAAAATGGAAATGTCTTGAGAGCTGTACTAAATGAAATTTATTTTTGTATATGCTCTCTGTGTACAAAATGACAATAAAGTCTG